GGTTGACTTTCTTATATCAAGCATACAATAGAACTCGATGTACAAATATGATGAGGTTCATTATTTCTTTCGTATACTTAGGTTTGTCTAGTCAAACTTACTTATTTGAATAATGTCTTAAGTATTTAAATTTTAATTTGTAAGAATAGTGTTCTGCTTATTTATGGATAATTCTATCTGGCTAACTTGGCTGACTATCTAGTTTAAATTTAGTCTTTCCGATATGGAAGAATGATTAACAAATTAATCAAGAGCGTTTATTTTAGTTGACACTAAAAATAAATACAATTTGCACTATTTTAAGCCTAGTAAAATTTTGTGGCAGTAGTCATTTTTTGTAGTGTGGAATACAATATGAATAACTACAATCATTATTCAGTCTTATGTATATGATTAATCTTGTAGTTAAAACATTTTTTCAAAATTTTTAGTAGGAAAACTAAAGATATTTTAATTATTTGTCAAATTTCATAAATAAGTATCATTACTTGCACCAAAATTAATTTTAGTGACCAATCATCCCATATGGATGCGAAGAAAACCAGAAGGAGTAATGTGACGTCCGCGTCATGGTACGAAATATGTAAAATATGTAATTAAAAACGACTTACTCCCGGTATTATTACCAACATATTAAAGGGACCTTTAACTTATGGAAGTTTTAGTGACAAGAAAATGTATTACAAACAAAATATAAAGTCAGATAGCAATCCTATAGTTTAAATAAAAGTTACGTTTAATGGCTATGGTATTTATATCGCGATTTATATTTTGCTGGAATTGTGAGTACATTTTATTGTCACTAAAACTCCCTTTAAAATGTTGATAATAATATTGTTTTTTTCCATGTAATTCCTTCTTGGATTTAGAATTGATTTAGCCCTAGAAGATTTCATGTTACTCCCGGAACACCCCGTATAATATTTTAACACTTACTCAAAACAAAAGTGCATCATCAGCAGAGGTAGGATTTACCAATCGGATATGACGTAAAACCAGGGTTGGCTTTAGGTGGTTATGTATCAAATTTGCATGCATACATGAAACAATATCTTACCTTGCATTTTTTTAGCTAATTCCGTCTAAGTTGTAAACACTCACTCAAAGAGAACTGAAGGTATAGGGGGATGTACTTAATAGAAAACTACACATACAAGTATTTTTCACTGCCGGTTACAAGAATAAAAGTATATTATTAATATTGAAGGCTAGAGGAATTCGTGGAAAACTTCCGTGTATGGTCTCCAGATTTTCTTGAACAGTTGGATCCATAAATGCCTGTTGCGCCTATGAAATAGCAACTGCGTCATTTGGATTTAACTGCTGTATTAGGGATTTCACATTTTCAATATAAAAGTAATATTTAGTATGATGCTGCCTCTAGCCAAGTTCCTCATCATGTTATAATGAGCTGTGGAGGTAATGGAGTATTTGGTAGAATTTCATGAAATAACCGTACACGACTTGGTGCTTTAAGAAAAACTTTCTTTACACTAGATATCAAATTATCAACATTAGGGTAGCACCTCCTAATAGCTTTAGCAATCCTATGAAGCCCATGTGCTAAACATCTTACATGAAATATATTCTAATATGTCTCCCTCAAAATTCTTCCAGCAGCTTTCATATAATTCACTCTATCGGTAAGAATAATAAGAACTTGTCCTTATTTTCTACATATTTGCCACCCCAAAACTCTTGTAGACTTGAATTCACTACATCCGCTATGGGGCGAGAATTTGTAGCTTCTAAAACTTTAGAGACAATCAAGTGCCCGCTCATTGAACAATTTTCCTCCAATGCACCCACTAAAACATTCACTACCTTAAATCCACAAGTATTAGTGGTTTTGTCCACGCTAAGGCAGATGTACTTCCCATTTAGCTCAGAAGAAAATTTCTGTAATATTTTCATACTCCGTTGATAAATATTTTTTTTCTTAGTGTAGACCCAGAAGGCACGTTAACATTGCTATATTTGCCACTAATACATTTTCCAAAAATTGTCTAAAAAGTGGATTGTCTAGTTTCAGCCACGGTATATTACATCCTGTCATAAATTCTACTAAATATAATTAAAATTACGATGCATGTCACTGTAAGTAAAGCCACCTACGCTTCGTTTATGGTTTTCTGAGGAAATATGTCTATTAATATTTGTGTTGCATGACCACGAAATTGCTTTGTTACATCTAGTGCAATACAATTGTCTACCATCAAATTGTAAATGGGCAATATCCCGATTCCAAGAATTTACTGTAGCTTCCGTCTGTTTAGTAGGTTGTGACATTTTAACTGCGCATTTTTAGTACCTTACGTCTGAATGAATTCACGTTATGCAGGATACTGTTTGATCGTGTTATATGTTTTCTCTTATCCACGCTAGGGCCGGCCGTTGGCATTCAGTAATGTAAATTACCGTTTTTGTAGTTTGGGAATGTTTCAGTAAGTTGTAAAAACCATCCCTGGGAACCGATCGGTAAATCCCACGTATCAGCAGAAGTCAAAATTTCACTGATTGTGAAAAAAATGTCCGCTTATTTACTTTTTATTTTCATTTTTGTCTGTTTTTCAGTTTTTTAAATGAAAATATGTGTTGATGATAAGAGATTTTTAAAAAGTAAAAAATGATAGCAATTATTTTACTGTTATTTTATTTTTAATTTAGTTGCTACGATTTTATTAGATACTTTCACTCATTCACTGGAAATTAGATTTTCAGAAAGTACACAAACAGAATTTAACGAAAGCAATGAAAGTGCAGAAATCATTAATATGCAGTACATGAAAGTTCACTTTTATTTTAACATTTGATTATCTAGGGTTAAACATGAAATGCACGTTTACTAGTGAATGTTTTACAAGTATTAAATCTATTGCTGAGTCTAAAAGTGTCCACACTTTTACACAAATCGTTGCATAATTCGAGAATGTTTCTAAAAATGAATATATTTACTGATTAGTTAAATATTCTGTGGAATTTTTTACTGTAATTTCCGATATTCATAAATTCATAAGTATTTAGCGCATTCCAGGTCAATAACACAGCACTTAGTCACGTCTGTTATTATCTTTTGGTTCTTCTTACTCATGGTGAGATGTACCTGTTATTTTTTAATTTGTGTTTGTTTTTTTTAGTCGGATTGTTTATTATGTGAGTGTTTTCTTCTGTATATATTTATTCCATGCCAATGCTTCCATTTATAAACAAATAGAAACTGCATTAGTGCAGTGGGCACTTGAATTAATTAAGGAAGTAGTTAAATATACAAAATTGCTACAGGATGTACAAAAAAATGTGAAATAGTTTCTCTATAGTATTATTGACGCGAGCGTCTTTAGCAATAACCCTCTACCGCCGTTTAAAATATTAATACGAATATTTAAAAATATCAGGTGCATATAGGGTGGAATACTGATGATATGCAGTCCACTCTATATTATCAGTATTAACAAGTGGGATTTATTGATTTATGGAAGAGGCAACGTATAGGTTTCATGCATCTGTCGATCATTTACAGCGTGACTTAAAATAGATATACCGTGTGTCAATATGAAAGCTCTCACCCCAGTTTTCTCGGGAACAGAGATATACAGGAACAGTTTTAAGTTAAATGGGATCGAAGGGGAATAATTATCATAGTATGAAGATCAACAAAAGAGTAACCCCCCTTTCCCCGCAGCCACCCCTTTAAAACCTTATGACACCCTTACCTCTTATCTCGTATGAAAGCCCTTTCGAGATGCTGCCTTTCTGTGGAGATTAAATTTGATTTAACCAAGAGACGGATTTCATTTAACATATGTTAATATTTCTAAAATATATATACTTTACTTGGTAAAGGTAACATTTTTAATGCTGGTCTGCATGATTGAGTCCTCTTACTTCCAACAATATTTTATACTGCTCTTTTTTTGTATCTTAAATAACCTATTCATTTGACTAGAATTACACCAAAATATACCATATCACAAACGTGACAGTATATGAGACAAATAAAATGTTAGAGCTATTGACTTATTTGTAATTTGCTTTAGACTATATAAAGCAAAACATAATGATGACAATTTATTACATAAAAAGTCAACATGTTTTTCCCATTTAAGAACATAGTCAGTGTATATTAGTAAAAATGTACCATTTACTTGTTCGATGGATTTATGATCAATTATTAATAAATAACTGCAAATTATTGCATTGGTTTTAGGAGTAAGTTAATAAAAACTGTTTTTGTTGCATTAAAATGATGTTTGGAATTTTTAAGCCATTGCACAAAATCATTTATTGTCGTTTGCAATGCCATTAAATACATATTATCGTCTACAAACATTGTTAAATTGTTACAATTATCGATGAAGGATAAATCATTAATAAATATTAAAAATTGCAAGGGCCCTAGGACGGATCCTTGCGGCCCATCAATATTGATATTTTGCTCCTTAGACTTTATACCTTTAATTTCAACTAACTACTTTCTATGTGTGAGATATCATGGTTTCTACAAACACCCAATCACTATCGCCAGCCAACTTAGCATTATAGAGAGATGATTAGAAACAAACCGTAACTGTCACCCGCGGACGTCAATTTGAGGAAACACGCCGAGTATCGTATAGTATCGATATCTGGAAACTACTTCTATATTCAAATTTAATTTAGATTAAAGATCAATTAATTTATCATTTAAAATGAGAACTACTAATGGAATGTTTGTCTGATATGATGTACCTACGTTTAAAGGAAAACATGTAAAAAATAATAAACCAATATTTATTTTAATGTGTGTAGATTCAAGTTTTAAGTACAGAATTTCAAATTAAAACTGATATATTTTGATATATTTGTAATAGAATATACATATAGAATATTTTTAAAATGTGCTTTATTTTTGCAGGTAATTGGATTCCTTCTGTGATTTCTAACCAACTTCATTATATTGGACGATTTATAAGTAGTAAGTAAAAGGTCCATTTTCTATGTATTTATTTCTTAATTAGTGTGGCTTCATGGTCGAGCGGTAAGGATACTTGTCTCTCACCCTGGAGTCCCGGGTTCGAACCCCGGTCGAGAAGCTACGATTTTTTCTAAACCAGAGATTATTCCTAGCGTACTCGGATATTGGGTGTGTCCATTGCCTCTAAATGTGTAGCCTTCTCCCGCAGAAGGTACCCTCAGGGATACAGCGGGTTGTATTACCTGCGATATTTAATTTTTAATTTTAATGTTTTAACTGCGGTTGTGTACCCTTAATTAGTACGTGTCTTCCTGATAGATCTCTCGAAAAGTCGGGAGAATTGCGAAAAAACACTGGAGTACGGTAAGGACCTTTGAACCGACTGTTCAACATATAAATAACTGTCAAAAGAACTCATAACAGTGATAGCAACTACAAGAGTCAATCGTGTTCCTACATAATATTTTTATGAGAAAAGTAAATTTATACTTTTTGCATTTCTGAAATCTCAAAAAAAGGAGAATGTGTCAAATACTGGTGTCCGTAGCGCGTCGTCTTGCAGTCTTTGGTTTATGACACGAATCTCGTCTTTCAAAATACTCCAACGGGGTTTCCTGTAAACAGTAAAAAAATTACTTTATTATATTTACCTAAATGTTTTTAGATTTGTGTAAAATAGGAAATGACTGTTAAGGGGCCTAGTCGGGAAAAAGCTTCGGATAGCTGTGTCACTCTCTAGAAAGTTTTTATACATGCGCCGCTGAATAATTTTGTTCTTGACTATACCTTCACTGGACGTTTTATTTACCGACTTCATTGAGGTGCGATTCCCGATGGAGGTAACACTTCCTTGCTCCATTTGTAGTGACAAAGATACTTATTTAGAAAATTCTTTTTAACCAAATAGTACGGAATAAAAGTTTGAAACTTGCGGAGCACAATTATGAAGATTCATTCTAGACGACATGTATGAATTTTACCTCGAATTTTACCGATTGATATCATAATTCAGGAGCTAATCACGTCCAAATTTCACTTATATTTACAGTATAAAATTTCCCTACATAAAGTGAAAATTAATTAAAATAGATATACATGTACTCTCTAGTACACTTTCAACTACTGATCCTCCAAATTTGATGTAATTTGACCAAACCGTATGGAAGAAATAAATTTTGAAAAATTACCTTACAAACACTGGTTCGATTAGCCCTCTTAATGAATAACGTAATATATCAATTCTTTTTTTTTTTGTGGTTTTCTCTTATTGGTAAAAATAATTTCATTCCAGGTGTCACAGTGGTTACTGAAATTAGTGTTTTGTTAATTTTTCACTATATAAACTCAAAATAGAGATTATATATTTATATTTTCTTTGTTAGTAAAATAACTATTTCTGTTCTGTGTAAAAGATCAGTTTATGTGAGTCTCACGTTGTGAGGCCGTCATCTGCTAAATACGACTTTAAGCGGTCTTGTATTATAACAGGCTTATTATGGTGGATTTAGACGAAACAGCCTTGATTTAATTTAATTGATGTCATTTTAATACCGTTCCTGCAGTGTTAAGGAAATATATTATAATGCCGTTGATTACGGCTTTTTTTTATTTAAAATTGTATTTCGTGATCTGGTAAATCCGTTCATTTATTTTAATTGAATATACCGGCTGTAATAATAACGTTCTGATAAGTATTTTTCATTGAACTGTAAATCAAACGTCATAATAAATTTTATAATTTTGACACACAGTTTAAGTTTCTAAAGCGTTGTGAATCCTTCAGTGAAGTACACAAATTATTTGTACTATTATAAGAACGTAGTCTCTATAAATTAGTCCAAAATTATTGTCACTATTCATTCTATTTCATGTTCTTCATCGTCTAAACTTGGGTTCGTTTCTAGCTCTTTATGTGGGGATATAATTATTTATTTCTTTAAGTTCTAAAGCGTTGTGAATCCTTCAGTGAAGTACACAAATTATATTGTACTATTATAAGAACGTAGTCTCTATAAATTAGTCCAAAATTATTGTCACTATTCATTCTATTTCATATTCTTCATCGTCTAAACTTGGGTTCGTTTCTAGCTCTTTATGTGGGGATATAATTATTTAACTGGCAGTGTCATGTTATTCTATTTTTTACGATGAGTACTTTGGTTTTTGTGTCAAAAAATAGGTAGGTGAGTATGTACAGGGTCATCACGCGAAAATGTTCCTTTTTGGAATAATTTGTTTATTTTTAACGAGGAGTTATTATCCACTGATCTAAATTTGTTCACCTATTGCCGCAGTGTTCAAAATATTGCCGTATATTCCACGTTATCCCCGAATTGCCAAGAGTGTTGAAACATTACTGAGGATATTGCCTCATTGCCGAATTTACTGTCGACTTAGCGAAATTACTGCCTCAATGGGGGCGATCTTGACGCACGGCTTATCGCATTTTCACAGTCTTCATTATTATAACACTGCCAAACGTATTGCCGACCAGTTTATAGCACTACTGTGGCATGCCATTAATTTTATTTTCGAGATTTGATTTTTGATTTGATTGAAAATAAGAACAAAACTTCCCTTTTTAATAGTTTATTACAATTATTACAGTAGCAAAAGATGGTAATTGAAAAATGTCTCATTATTTTTAAAATCGTTTTAATTTTCTATAAATCCTTATTGCAATTATGTCGTATCTTTTAATTCAAACGGGTTAGACCCTAAACTGTTTATAGGACCATAAAATATATATTTATTGTCAATTTCCTGTATATCGTCACTCTTGGGGCACATAAAAGTTATCCAAGTCCTCTCCCAAAAATTTTATTTTACATTTGTTTTTTTCTAATTTCCAGAATTCTTCCTATAATACTGATTGTTGTAGTAAATTGCATAATATTTTTCATTCGTAATAACGACTTTTTCTGTTTCGGGTTCTTCTGTCTCTGAAAAATCTTCTAAAAGAGTTTCACTCACTTTTATATTCTTCACTACTTGTCTCATCAGTAATTATCTCACAGTGTTTTTAATTTAATCTTACTATTCCTTTCATTGTAGCTTTTCTTTTGACTGGTTTGTTTTTTTTAGAGGTTTTCTTGATTTTCTAATAGTTTTAGTTTTATTGTTGTCACTTTTAAAAATGGTGTTGTGTTGATATTTGAAGCCTTTTTTCCTTCGTAATCTTTTAAACTCAAATCGTCAAGTTCAGACAACATCTTCTTTTATTTCAGCAATTTCTGTGTCCAGACATTTCAACATGAGTATTTAAACTGATCTAGAATAATAAAATTAAAAAGCGTGTTAACATAAAAAATGTAAATAAAATATTTAAACCTAATTGGTCTCAAAAGGTAGAGGTCATTAAGATATGCTTATGACTATACTATTGTTTACTTTTTTCAAATGCGAAGCCACCTACGATGCAAGATTGAATAAAAAGAAACGTAAAAAAACATATTAGGCATTTTTTATTAAGAAAATTGTTCAGAATCATCTCGAAAGGCCAACTCCAAAATTTGGTTAAAAACAAGAAAATAAAGATTTCGACAAAACAATTGAAAACATGAGTTTGGATACATTTATTTATTCGCTTAACAAAGTTGTCATAGCTTCTACTTAACTGTTCAGGGGTAATGTTGTTAAAGACATTTCGAATGTTTCCCTTTAAGTTGTTCCAAATTTTGTGGCATGGGGTTATAACACCTGTCTTTCACATACCCCCATATGAAAAAATCTGGAACTGTGACTTCTGGGGATCGAAGGGACCATGCTGTAGGACCTCCTCTCCCAATCCAACGATTTCCAAAGGTGGCATTCAGGGAATCTCTAGTTATTCTGTTGTAAATTCTGTTGGCCTTAAACCATTTTACATGATGGTCTATCTCATCATTGATTTGTATGCTTAAAATGAATGACAGGTTTTAAGAATAAGGACGTACGCATGTAGCACCGCATTTTTATTTAGATTCTTTAGGTTCTTTATAATCTGTCAAAGAAACAGTATTGTTGCTTGTGTCTATTTATTTGAATAATGGTATTATAATATTTTGAAATATTCCTCAGATTGTGATACATACCATAAACACTGAGTAGTAAGTATATTGCTATACTACATAAGTGAATGGCAAAGAGCAGTGTCAAACATGCGATAAATTATCTGATATAATCTAAGTATCAATAATTTGGTGGTTGTCACAGTTATGTAACAAAAAAAATATATATCTACTTATTTCCTTGTACTTACTCGAATACAACTCATATTCATTCATCACTCGGATCATCACTCTTCAGCCTTCTTCACGTCCCAGCCACGAAATAAGAAATCGTGCAACGTCGCATGAAGTCTTGTATGTATTAAAGCGTCTCTTTATTTACCTCAAATCAGTGTTTTTAACGTGATAATTGCTCTAGACTCTTGTAAATTAAAGTGCATTGAATGTAGATATTGTTGTGTAGTAATCGTAATCATTTAAAATACATTCTAATTTTTTGCGAGTTTTTATGTGTTTTATTTCATCCGTACGCATATAACCTAAAGTAGGTTAATAAACCGCCCGACATGATGTTGTATCCCCGGTTGTAAGTCAAATTACGAATCATCTGTAAAATATGAAAGCCTAGAAAGCGTTTTGGATTCCCCATAGTAGCCATGAGAGATTTTAATTACAATAATACTGCTGATTTTTTAGAAATAATTAACAATTAGTGGGACATCGTTTCTAATACGTGTATTCTGGTAGGAGATATAAAAAAATTAATGGTCAAAACCTGTATATTCTGTCAGTGACCTAGAAATCGACTTTTAAAAAAATCATTGTTTGGCTGGATAGGTAGCAAAAATTAAATTTTAATGAACATCTAACCAATGAAACATATTTAGCCCTTCGACAAAGTACATCTGTCAGGGACCGCTCTGGCGTTTACGCCGCCCCGGACAAAATAAATTGCCACCGCTTTTAAAGTTATTTTTCTTAATAAAATATGGTTTTAATTTGCAATAATAACGTATATTTAAAAAGAAACAACTGATAACATTTGGTACAAAACAGTATAAATTAAAATAAAATAGAGTTGCAGTACCTATAGATAGTATTAAAAATGTAGATAAATAAACATTACAATATA